GTATTACATATCCGAACAGAAAATATTCGTTTTAATGGAGCCTAACAATGAATCCCGCTCCCTTTCTTCCAAATTCTTTAAATCTTGAGATCGTGTTCTTCGATATTTAAAATTTTAAGCGTTCAAAATATTAGTAAGAATAAAGGATTTCAGGAAAACTTTTTGAAATATCCCTTCGTGTTAAAACCTTCTGGTAGAAAAGTTTAGAAAATAAACCTGCGAATTTGAAATATGTGTTCTGTTCTGTATTTAGAACTAATATTATGAAATCGATATAAAAGCGTTAGCTGATAGATTTGTAGATATCAATCAGATAATGACATACTTCAAAACTGTTGAAAATAAATTTAGGGTTTTGTACTAAGTATTGCATTTGGGAGAGAGGAGCTAGTTGCATCGATTGGCTCTAACAGCTTTAAAAGGTAAACGTTTAGATTGCAGAAAGAAAGCAGCAAGGAAAGTTTATAGTAAGTAAAACATGCCATCCAAAATATATCCTTTCGTAAAGTACAAAACAAAATTAAGCATTTTTTATCGTTTTAAAATGCATGAATGTTTTTAAAAAAGAAAACGTAAACAGATAAATAATTCATATTCTATAAATAACAGATATACTTACATAAAATAAAAAGAGAAATAATTTAAAACATGAGTTAAAAAAATATAAGGTTATAAGGTATTTCTCTCACCTTCTTGGAGTGTCTTCGTGGTGTGGTGGTCTGCACACTGGGCCGGTATTCCAGAGGTCCGCGGTTCAATTCCCGCCGAAGGCGTTATTAATTTTTCATCTTTCCTGCTTTCAAAATACCTAATGTCTCTACAAGGTTTTCAAAAAATAAATAGTAACTAATTATTATCTTGGGGCACGTGTGTGTTAAGTTAAAAATAAACTCTTTTTCAAGACTGAGTAATATCTTACAGTAGCATAGATGCACATACAATTATCGTGAACTGTAAATTGCGTACCTGAAGGAGGAAAACTCAGTTTTTTTTCTCTTACAATGCTTTCACTTTTAGCCCAATGTGTACTTCTCGGGTTTAATCACTGCCACAAACTATTGTTTTTTTAAGGGTTGAAACAAATTCAGTCCTTAACGTCTGTGCACGCTTTGTGTATTTCCTTTACCAAATATGCCAATGGAATAGAAAAAGGCAGCCTTTCTTCATAATCTTCCTCGTTACGCAATGCTGGCTGTTATTTAACGGCCCTCATATTTTACTCTAAGAACCTAATGGCTACTTCCAGAATTTCCACGAGAAAATCCCAGGAATTATGCCACAGTGTCTCTTTTGTCTCGATTCCCCATTTCCCAGCAAGATTAATCCTGGCCCAGTATGTCTGCATGGCTAATTTGAGCCTACTCATAATCCAGAATGGCAGTCATTAGTCTACTGCATACTTCGCCGCGTTTATTAAGCGGAAATAGAGAGTCAAAAATCGGAATCTTTCAAGAGAGAGTTTGAAATATGAGTGCGGAGAGAATTTTACGTTATTATTGCCATTACTTCATGCATCTTTTTCTCTTGACAACGCGTTTTACCTAGTTTGGGGTCTGAAAGTCAAATTTAATTATGGAGTTCTTTTGTGTTTTGTACTGCAAAAAAAAAAAAAAAAAAAAATGTCCTAAGCATTTTAATTAGTGCAAGGAAATTCAGTTTTTCTGTACCAGATTCAGTGCATGACGTTAGAAATATTTTTATATTAACTAAAACAATTCTGAAAATAGCATTAAAATTAAATTATATTATAAATTAAAACCTTTGTTTTGGTGTACACATTCACGCCGTTTTCTTGAGGAGTGTATATGCATTGCTTTCAGTATGAAACTAATCGCACGCTGCACCGTTGGTGTAGTCTCCTGCATTGTTCATAATCTATTTTCAACACGTATTTGATGTTTCAGTTTCTGGAGGTTGTTTCTCTAAAAACTGCCGTGGTTTGGTTATATAAAACGCTTTCTGGAAACTTTGAAGAGGGTCATTCTTTTGGAAGAATCTGCTAGAGTGCATTCGACAGTGATTTTGAAAAGAGGGTAATCTGTAGAAGCTATACCTGAGGAATATACGGGTTGTGGAAGAATCTCTCAATTAAGTTCGTGGATACCAAGTTTTGCGATGTTTGCCGCATAAGGCCCACCGTTGTCCATGTGATGCCGTGATATTTTTCGTTGGCGGGCACTTCACAGACTTAGGCTTGGCCACTACGAAGGGACGAACAATTACAGTCATGCCTTCTCCGGGATTCGGACTTTTGGTACTGCAGTAGAACCTTTGGTACTGCAGTAGGCTCCTCTAACCACTATACCGTCTGGGTGGTTGATGTCATATGTATGTTTGGCCTTTTCTCTAGACGCTGACCACAGTGGATAAATTTGTGAGTGGTTTAATGAGGATGAAGACCGATAAGTTGAATGAGCGAACAGAGAGTGGGGCATTCGCTCAAGAGAACGTTTCTGTCACAGAACCAGTCAATCCATTTTCAGGCTGTCCTTTCAGAAACAGTATGCTCTTCATACTTAGCACACGTTTATCTGGAAGCCTTTGCAGTTTTAGAATCTTTGTCGATTATGTGCAGAAGAATAAGTCAGGAATATTTCTTCTTTCCAACTTCACACTGATGCATACTTCAAGTCCTGGAGGAAAAAGTACTTAGTAACTGAAACAAAACCATTCACAAATATGGATGCAGGACATAATTAGCTCCAATTTGGCGCATTAATTTTCATTCCTATCAGTGACATCTTGAAGAAACATTCTAGAAAAAAGCAGCATGAATTTATGAATGAACCCAATATTTCAATTTATATTAGTCAAATGGATTACTAATAAATTTGATGAATAAAATAAAGTTCTAACTACGCCTCGAATATCAACATAAAAAAATGTGTTGTTTATCCGTCCCCGTCGAACATTATGCTTGTAGGTTTCATGCAGTGGCAAAACATTCCTAATTCATTAGGCTGGTGAGTTAACATGACGTGAAGTAACGCTGTAACGTCTCTGGCAGGACTCCAAAAAGCTTTACTGCTTAAGATACTTTTTTCCATAAAATATTTGCGACTTTCAGTGTAACTAGCTCCTAATGTTTTAACTGTAACCGTATTTTAAATTTATATTAACATTTTCACTTCAGTATTTTCTTTATGAGACTCCAAAAATTCTTGAACAAGGTTAATCCATTACGCAAACTGACAGCCACCATCACCAATAGTTATCTTCTCTAAGACGACTATTTCTTACGAGGACCAAACTCATCTGGAACAGTGGAGAACATCATATTAGAAAGGATTTGTCATAATTTATAGTTCATTGCGTAATGCTTATTACCACTTAACCGAAATAAAGTAGCTATGCTTCTGGCGGTCTTTTCTGAAAATATTTTGAATGAGCCCGCATTATGAAACGCATTGATTACCCATGGTTTTTCTCATTGTTCATGTCTTCTCTTGCTCTGATCGTGCTGATCAATGACACCTTTCGGGAGAGTTAAGTCACGCCTAAACCCGCAAGCAGAATATTCTATTGGGTGATTCCTTTTATTAAAATCACATGATTCGAATTCCAATGGAAACGTGCGTTCTGCATTTTCTGTTTCTCAGGGACAGATTTCACGTTTCACACTTACTCATTGGTATTCATCGTGCAGCTTCTCAAAAGAGCTTTGAAAGAAATTGCATTATCACTTCATTTACGAAAATTTGGAATTTTCAGAATTTCTGCTATTGAAAAAAAGAAAATATACTTTCTATAATGTCTCTACAGTAGAATCACTTCGTTTACTGGTTAAAATTTAACAAATGTAAATTTTATTATAAAGTTATTTTTTTTAATTTTTACAATATTTGTCTTTTTTTTTTTTTTTAAAAAAAAAAAGTAATACCTATTCTTGCCAGCCGATGAAAGTAAATAATTTTTCTTGCGTAAAATTAAACTTCGACACAAAAACAATTTTCAGTGATATATAAAGAATAATATCTAGTATTTGAGTTATGTGAATATGGCAAAGAGCGTTAGCGTAGTATTATCTTCGTGAAAAATTAACTGTCTTATGTAAACTTACTCCTAGTTAAATCACATATGGGCCAACTATCCAGTCGTGCCTCTTTGTCAGGTCTAACGTTACTGCATCTATTAAGTTCACTTTCATAATATAATACACTGTTTCAACAATTTTACTTTCTTTTGAAAAGCACGATTAGGTCCAACTTGGCCTCTGTATTTTTGCGGCAAAGTATTCCAGTAATTGACACACTCTAGAATGCAATGCTGATGATAGGACTTCCAAGGACTTAATCGGATACACCTTTCGCATGAGAAAGGGCATTTCAGCAAACATTTTGACTTTTGAAGGAGTCAATTGCACAAGATTTCAAGGAAATCTCTTCTTTGTATCATTTGTCTATGCTACTGTGCTCAACACCACTCAGCTGGTACAGTGGTTAGTGACACTAACTGCCGTACCGATAGGCCCGTGTTTGAATATCGGAGAAGTCATGGATGTTTGTATGCGTATACTGCCCGTGTGGCATGGGGGCATTCAAAATACGTGGCAAGACGAAATTCCTCTCGAGAGGCTGTTGGTAGGAGAAGGGGAATGAGAGACCTTCAGACCGCGCTCGGGCTATTCTTCCTCAAAACGTGGGTAGAAGCTGAACGGTTAGTTAAATTCTGAGATACCTCAATCACCCGTGGTAAAACAGAGGTTCTGCCTACCTTTCCCATGGATCTGTTATCTATCTTTGATTGTCAACAACATTTATTTACAAGTAAAGTTTTCCAGACTATAAATTATCCCATCTTTTCGATCTGTTTCCAGGATTTAATGACAATAAATTAACTTCTTATATATTTGTATATTCATCTTAAATAAATGTTCATCGTTTTAATCTTTGTTACATACTGTATGCTTAAATGTTACCAATAATTAGCACTTCATTATGCTTTTGCTATTCGGAAGATATGTTTCATTTGTATAATCGAATTTATTTTCTCTTTTACAGGTGATTTACCTAATTTATGTAAATTTTGGTCCATTGTCATTTCGTTGTTCTGTTATACCATACTCAGTTCAGCAGGTGAGATTTTCTTTATATATTCAGTTTATGTGTGTGGAAGTTATTCAGTCTGAATGCGTGTACCTACAAGGAAAAGGAAATTAATGCATGATTTAAATTTTAACTAAACTAGCAAGATTTTAACATCACAAATACAGGATCACACAACAGAAGGAACTAGACTTAATGATATTTGTAAATATTTACATTTTTGTTAAAGATTTTGATTTATTTTATAGCAACAGTGTTTACTTATGTTTAAATATGTGTTATAAACTTATGTGTGAATTTACTTATGTGTTATACAATATTTACTTATGTTTAAAGATCAAATGATTACACACCGAGATCATTAATATATTGTTCAGAACCATATTCTGTCGGTTACAGTAATATTGCAAATGCTTATAGTTATCAGTTCGGTAGAGTAAAATAAAAGTAAAACAAAATTTCTACGGAAAATTACGAAAAACGGAAGAAAGTGTGTGAGATAACAGCAATGACAGCAATATTTACGAATTGTTCTCAATAGTGCGTAATTTAATTGCACCTAATCTGCACCTAATCGTAAAAATTAAATTAAGTGTACAACCATTAATCTTTTGTTTCGATTTAAATACAAGAGGAATATAAACAAGGGCATTGTTCTCTGTTTTTCTCGTTCCGAATGCTGTTTTAGTTTGCATAATAAAACGACCTCATTCTCCAAATTAAATTGCTTACAAATTGTTACATTATTTCTGTGTTAATTATAAAATGAGTTATTCCTCTTTCATCTGCTTTTTTAACGGCTTTAGTATTAACAGTGATTTTGAGGTAACCGTGGACATCGTCGCAGGTGTTTACCTGGGGTTTAAAAGAAATTAAAAGTTTCTTTTACAATAATAGGTGGTTAATGTATAATTTTGTAATACTAACACTGAGTAATCAGTTAGACTTGCCTAGGTACGCAATGTATGGCATTAGAAGTATTTTTCCTTAACTAAATAGTCATGCAAATTGTTAGTTATATATACTACAAGTTTTATGTGAAACAATTAGATGAATTATTAAAAATGAAGTAACACTTTAAATAATTAACAATTGTACGTATTACGTTTAAGCTGTTCAGTTTATTTCGAACCCAACACAGGTCGAACTACCAATACTTAGCGGTCTTAACCATTCGTCCACTGGTGGGGCTGCTGCGCTGTTCGAAAATAGCACTTACTAGCTCGCGTAGACACTGTACGATTGATATAATGGCGACACATGCGAAGCCGGGTGGGCAGTAAAATTTTCCTATAGAACTCGTCTAAAAATGTTACTAACTTCGAAATATTTTCATAAATATTTAATTCAAATTTCGAACTTGTGAAAACGCAGTAAAATAGTAGATTAAACGATAAAAAAACTACATTAAACTTTCTTTGTAAACATTAAAATGTCTGAATTTATTAGATAGCAACAGTGAGTGATATTTTCATTTTAAAAAAAGAATCGACCTTGTTATGTAATTTTCCATATTGTTTAACAGCTTATCTGTTAATATTCTCAGTTCGAGTACTTTTAAAACAATTTTCGACGTTCAAAACATGTAGTCGTGACTTTCCATTTTTCTACAATTACTTTATGTTATTACTACAGAAATGTTCCAATTATTATGTAAAATTACTGCAACATTAATAATTTAGGTGGCCTGCCAATTGCCATTCGACTGGGAGTGATAAATTTAATTCGTACTCTCTGTGCTTTGCTTAACTGAGTAGTTTTAAAGCGATACGTGCTTTTTAACATTTTACATCTTTTTAATAGTATTCTTGCGGTGTTTAATTTAAAATTAATTCGTTTCTTGTTATTTATGATATATGTAATTCATAATTTTCGCAAATATTTGCGCTAAGATGTCAAATCCAAGAGGTATTTCTAACACCCTATGTCACCTACCTGATTAGCGAATAATCACTTGCGCAAGGAGACGCTTGAAGGGTAACAAAATTTTTGATAGCTTACGTTATGTTATAATACCGTGATTTATCTTCATCCATGTGACTTGTTGCTCTGTATAAATATTGCTTGCCCCACATCAGTGGGGGGTCAAGAGTAACCGGTGACCCCCTAAATTTGTCAGTCAAAGGTTTCCTTTGATTTAATTCAATTTGAATAATCTACCTAAATGTACTGTCGGTCACCAATTTTTATCGGTTACCAACAGTCTTGACAAGCATATTTGATTTATTTTAAACGACTCAACTAAATATACTGCTCCACCCATTGTGACTTATGGGTCCAATGAATTCTTAGAGCGTACTCATGTCTTTCACTTTAGATTGATTTAGTAATCTAGCCTAAATTTACGATACCGTTCCATAACTATGACGTATGAGTTCATCGCCAGACACAGTCAATCTCTGTGTCAACTATTATTAACTATCATGATAGCCATTAATGACCTTTGGTTAATTTTAATATAAAACTATTATTTGTATATACTACTTCCCCCCACACCATTGGTTCCACCATCTATTGGTTGACTGATAGTGACAATCAGCATGTAGGCTACCGGTGACTAACGATCTGTGCAGTTATTATCGATCTTAGTTTAATTTTATTTTAATAATCCATTTAAATTTCTTGTGCCGCCTCACACCAGTGACCTATGTAGACCACCAGTGACATCTGCCAGTCATCGGTGATCATCTCTGTTGAGATTTATTTTAATACTTTAATTTACATCGTTGTTATATTCTAATTACCGTCAGTCTGTTGGTCACCATTATCCGAGTTCTTGTTAGTCATTTTCGGTCACATTTTATTTTAATAATCTACTTAAATGATATAACTTTAAAATATATATAATTCATAACATGTCAAATTTGTAATATTTATGAATATTTAAATTTCTTATGAAAATTGTTTCTAATAGCATTTGGTGTCTGGCTCGTTGATGCATATGGAACCTCAGTATTTTAAACTTATTTAAAATATTCGAAAGGTATTGTGACTAAAATAATGACATAATAATGAATTGTGACTAAAATAATGATTTTTATAATAATAATGCAAATTTCTCGGAAAATCATGGTATGCAAGATAGAAATGCAGAAGGAAAACAAAATATAGCGATTTGGTTAGGTTTGATAATTTCGGTATGGTAAAACAATATCGCGGTTTGCAGCAGATCCAGTTATCATGTCACAAGGAAGAAAAAATAACGTTGATTATGTAACCATTTTAAACGACCATGTTCATTCAAGGGGTTTCAATGGTTTATTCAGGTACTGTTTAATATTAGACATGGCAAGTATGCTACCATTACACCACTGGAGCAAGAAAAGCTGGAAGGAGGAAGAAAATATCTTGTAGGGGTACCTGTTTTCAAGATGACGATGCCGCCATTTACTAAAATCAGAGTGCTCTGTCATAATTTGAAATCTCGAATTTGAAATAAATATCTTGCTTGGTTTGCATAATCACCAGACTTAAATATCATCTGTGACTTAAATATCATCTCTCTATCTTGCACCTCTGTGGTCTGTACTGGAAAATGTAAGGAGATCTCAATTTTTCTCTCAACATCTCTCATAGAGTTGAAGTAGTTTCTGGTAGGAAAATGGCATAAATTAGCTATCCTTTCTGTTAGCAGGGGAGCAGGGCAACCTGCAGCTGTATTTTTAGGCATGTGGTTTCGAAAATAAGCGTGTACGCGCCTTCTAACGAGGAGTTTCAATTGCTTAATATTTACATTTTATTTTCTGGCAATACTTTCGGTTCATTGGATAGTCTTTCTTACTCAATTATTCAAAAATTCAGCTTATAGAGCAACAAGTATTGAAAAGCTGTGAGAGCCAAAGCTTTGATTCACTACTTTTGAAATCAATCTGTAGAGGCAATTCCGTGGGTAATTAACTAGCAACGGATATTGAAACTTAAAAGTATGTCGTGAATCAGTTTTACAAGACTCTACCCAGCATTCTAGTGGAAGAACCTTCACTTCCTCTTCCAAACTGCGGGATCATCATGTATTTACTATACGCCGTGCAATGTTTCCTTGTTTTTGATTGTAGGATACTAAGAACCATAAACAGAGAATGTTTTGACTTTCGGCTTGACACATTAAGCAAAACCTAAATGAGGATGACACTGGGAGTCACTGGAAGCTGTGTAGCGCGCAGTTTTCAGAGAAACTTAATTATGTTGAGGTGAACAAATATGATAATTTTGAAAAAAAAATTTGAATTTCAGGTATCCGAAGTTTTATTGCCGCGACATTATACCCCGAACTACAGTTATAGTAATCGCTTTCCGTTCCTTCTTCTTTTATGGATTTAGGAATTTGTTGATGTGTCCGTAAATTGTTTTCGTTGATTTGATTAATATAAAGTGCATCATAAATTATATTAAAATTTCCATTGTTAGTATTTTATTGTATGTTCTTTCGAATTACTGTATTTGTATTTTGTTTTATATATTTATTTACTTAGTATAGTTTTTATACTAACTTTCGTACATATAATTCGAAATGTACGTTAAACTAATGGGCATTTACTATGTAATATATCTAATAAAGAAAGAAAGAAATAAAACCATACATTTCGCGCTAACATTTTCTTAAGTAACAACAACTATAGCTGCGGGAAAACGTTACAAACATTATACTATAATACTGGTATCCCAAAAACGGAAATTTAAGCGTCATACTACTACCCACTCCCGATTACACGAGAAAATACGGGAGACGACATCCGCGGTTAACTAAAATCGCAGTTAAAATTAGAGTAGCTGAAAAACATAGAGAAGAGCAATAACCCATGATTAAGGTTAAAGTTTAAGCAAATTAACTTACACCCATTCCATAGTACATACGAGAATTTTAATTTATTTAATTCATTTAATGCACTGCCAAATGCATATAAGTGTATACACACAATATAATTTCACTTATATATAGTATTGATTTATGTTATAAAAGTGTTCATATGTAATACTGTGCTATTCAAAATATCTTGTAACAAAAGAAAATAATATTTACTGAACAACAG